CACACACACACACACACACACACACACACACACACACACACACACACGACAGAGCAAATGCAGGAGCAGTCTGCCATGACTGTGCAGATAGCAGCTAGTCTGGAAAGCATGACTCACACCGAGTAGGAGGACATGAGAGAACACTGCAGTCTCACTATTTTATATGATATGGTATCTTGTAGAACTAAGTGATATTTTAAAAAAAGATCAAAGAAATTGACACATTACCATTTTCTGCAAGTGGAGCCAGAACCTCAAAAATCATTTCCTTCTTCTCGTGCTCTGCCTGCTTCTGGAAAAGACGCACCAGCTCCTCAGCAATATTAGTGGAGGCAAACTGCTCTTTGCTGGACTCTGAAGGGGAAGAGGGGAGTACCACGGGCATGTCATAAATGAGAAGAACTCCTCTACCCTTCATGGACATCTTATGTGCATTATACTATGGTTCAAACACAATTAGTCATCTGCTTTCACAGACACTAAAAACTCAGGTCACAGTGAATCTCAAATCCCTAGGGATGGGTATCCTTAGGATTTAACGATACCAGTACTCTCATCGATACTCTTATCGGTTCTTTTTGATTATATTGTGAGAAGAAAAGAAAATGAATTAAGAAAAGAATCAACATTGCTTTATTATTCTAGGATGTAAACAAAGTCTTTCTTGAGCAGCAGTACAAAAAGTTCCAAAATCTTTAAAATACATTCCCAGCTAAACTATTAGCTAAGTGATTAGCTTTCATTGATTATTCTGTTCTTTTGATCAAACCGACTCAGTCGGTGTGTGTGTGTGTCAGAGTAAAGCACAAAGACAAAGACACAGAGAGAGGAGGTTTGAGACGAGGACATCTCACTCCAGAACTTCTAAAGTAGCGACAGCAGAAGCGTTAACTCTGGACCGCATCAATACTCCGGGTTGTTATTTAGAGCCGGTTCCCATTTAGAACAGAGTTCCAGGGGGCACCCCTATGCCTGAGTGAGCGTGTTTTCACCATGGTGAGCAGATTCTGGCAGATCAAAATAACGTGTATAGAAATGACTGTAATTTGTAAGATTAAGCGGTGTAGGTAGAAGTTGACAATACTTTTCACCATTTTGGAATGGTTGGTGGGTGTGTTTAGCTTGGCTAAACGGGTGTTTAGGAATACTCACCAAGTTCAGCCAAATTCCCAAAGGCAATTAGACACATTTCTGTCAGGGCTGCGTTGTGGGAATGAATGCCTAGCAGCTGCACCAGAGTGGGAATCACCCCCATATTGATCAGCTGAGCTTGCAAGGAATCTGCAAAAAAAAAAACAAAGATACAGAAAGACAGACAGTCGATCTGTTGTTCTAAACATGATGTAGAGGTGAGGCGGTCAAGAGGAAAGTGTGAGACATTAAGAGTTTTTGCTTAAGCCTTAAGTGGTTGAGCAAAATTAACCTGCTGAGCTTTCTCTACTTTCTATCTGTTGTTCCGTTTAACCCCCCCAGCTTTGTGTTCACCACTATACACCATTTAGTTCAATAAAAATGATTGATGCCAACGGTCACTTAGCAAACAGTCATTTAGCAAACTCGTTAGCTTAGCCTGGTTGCAAGCAGGAAAATAAGTTTGTTCAAAATATGCATTTGTACCATTGACTCCCATCTCATAACTGTCGGCAGACCATTCCTCTTATGTGGAAAAGTTTCAAATACAACAGAGGATATATAAAAGTACATGGTGACATGCGGTGAACAGATTTAAACTGGGAACTGACAATGTAATTAAGTCACCGAAACGCCACTCCTCCCATAGAGGGGCTAAATTCAAATTCAGAGCATATCTATGATTGAGGGATTGCCTCCACATGGCTGTCAACATGGCTACGTTTGAGTCGGCGGCTAGCAGTCAGCAGCACTAACAGTGCAAACAACTGCAAAAGTGCTGACAAAGCCAACAGTGTAAACCTGAGGTGGAGACAGAGGGTGGGCGCTACGCTTCTGCCGCCATGGGTCAGCGGTAACCGCCGTTTGACAGAAGTGCTGAGCGATCTGACAGTCTATGTAAACAAAGTCCAGAGAAACTCGGATTACAGCACACGCAGAGGGAGACTGACTTCATTCTCTGCTCAGATAGATTACTCCTTCACATAGATAATAGTTGTTTGCTGCTATATTAAGCTAAGATAAGTTACACTTTATTGTCCCGCAGGGAAATTAGTCTTGGGCTCCAATTATCAATGCTTTGAATTTCGAATTTAGCACCTTTAAGTACATTTTTGACATGTCAGATCAATCACAACTACCTTTAAACCCTTGAAAAGATGAACTATAATTTAACGCAGGTTTGTATGTGAAACGTGCATTAAATAGTAGTTGGAATTTACACACCACAGGAAGTGGACATGCATTTGCCATCAAATGGCAAAAAGTAGTAGAGCTATCAAACGTGCCTGGAGAGCAAAAAGAAAGGCTTTAGATTTAGTTAAAAACCAGAGAGAATGAATCGATGGTGGAGGAAGATAAGAGTGGGAAGATGAGCAGAAGAGATGAGAGAAGAAGCAAGTCCAGTTAAAGTCTCAAGAACAATACTCAAAAAGATCTTTTCAGATCCTTGAATGTCAATCAGAACGTATAATAGCAGGACAAGCTAAACCTTAAATCCATGTAAAAGTAAGAAGTTAAAAAGCCACTTAAACAGATGCTACATGTGTTGTCATCAGAGACGGACATTAATGTTAATATAATCCCACCGGTTTCCTGTTTGATGAGCCTTGAGATAATAAATATACCATGGGTTTCACAAATGCACTTGACTTGAGTAGACAACCAAAACAGGGGGACGGGCAGGTAGCATGAGCATTCTGGGAAATTATACCAGTACAAAATAGCACTGGTGTGACCCAGAAGAACATCTTATAACTGTTTGATTTTGGAATGACATGTAAAAACCTGATTGATAATTAGTATTAGTGTATCGTGGTCATAGATTTGCTTTATATAGAATCATCAGTATGGCCATACAGGTGCATCTCAATGAATTACAATATCATCGAAAAGTTCATTTATTTCAGTAATTCAATTCAAAAAGTGAAACTTGTATATTATATAGATTCATTACACACAGGGTGATATATTTCAAGCGTTTATTTCTTTTAATTTTGATGATTATGGCTTACAGCTAATAAAAACCCAAAATTCTGTATCTCATAAAATTTGAATATTACCTAAGACCAATTTAAAAAAAAAGGATTTTTAATACAGAAATGTTGGCCTACTGAAAAGTATGTACAGTATAGTATAAAATGTAGCACCTTTCAATAAAATATTGACCAATATATGTTTTAAACTGCAACATCTATATCAGCAAGTATTGGTTTTGCTCTACTAGAATAAATTAACCATTATTTTTTACTGATTACATTTGTTGTTAATAAGTGGGGAGTTGTCTCAACATTAGCTAGATATGAAGAGTCAGATAGATGCTGAAAGCTGCTGAAAGCTGCAGAAAGCCACAAAAAGTCACATTCATTCTGTTAGCGTAACACAAAACCTTGCATCCCCCAGCCAAACAGATCCAACTATTGTCGAGTGCCAAAAGACGCTTGGCAGGAGGTCTGATCCTTCAGATCATACATTTGCTCCGGTCAACAAGCCTTGTTGTCACAAAGACACAAGCTGTAGTATAGTCCAGAAAGATGTAAGCCGAGATACAGTGAAAGGGAAATTCCCCTTTCTCGTGTAAAGTCATAGTAAATATCACAGTAAGCCCATAGAAAGTAATGCAGATACTTAATGAAGATAGAGACATATGGTAAAGAGCATACCATGTCAACTGCAGGATAAACTGCAACCTTTTTAAGCATGGGAACATATAATCTGGGTCAAATTACTTCAATCTATACTCGTCCTGAGGTGTACCTTTACTTTCAACTCAATCGTGGTCTTTCTAAAACATTTTACATAAGTTGCCCGACAGGTTCATTAAAAAGGTCCTGCAACTACAAGGAATAGGTCAGATCAAAGAACGAGATAAGGAGTGACAACTTTGCGTTTGTGTGTCAAGTACAGAGCAGGAGTTAGCAACGTGTTTAGCCTAGCTTAGCATAAAGACATAACTGCACACGATCAGAACAAGACTAATAGTCTACAGCCGTACAAGGGGCTCTATCAGGCTGTATTTGGGCACAACAGGGCTTTGAGCTAAATGCTAACGTCATCTTTACAGTGACAACGCTAACATGTTGATGTTTAACACATCGCCACCGTAGTTTAGCATGTTAGCATGATAACATTTGCTAAGCGCTACACACATGGCAATCCATCCAATAGTGATGGCTTTATATAGATATTTCACTTAAAACCACAAACATCAACCTCATAGCGGAGCTATATGGCAAGTCATTAGGATACATAATCTGGTAACCAGGAATGTCTGTAAAAACAATTGTGCCAGTCATCTATTAGTGTGCTGGTGGAGGTAGACCAAATATCAGGGTGTCAGTCATTCTGTACACTTCTGTCCATCCTGCAGAGGGATCTGTTACTCTCCCTCAGGTTTCTTAGTCTTTTCTCCCCGCTAAAGGTTTTTTTGGGGGGAGTTTTTCCTGTACCGATGTGAGGGTCCCGGGACAGAGGATGTCACATCTGTACTGCAGTGGTGGGCCGTCAGGGCCTTCTCTGCTGGCCTAAACACAATCACAATGCTATAGCTAGCTATTTTATAATTTTTCTTAAATACACTACATGTATTATAATTTATAAAAATATTTTTCCCATTATATTATTTTCTCATTGCACAGCTACTGTCTTCCTCAGTTGCTCTGCTTTCAGTGCAGCTTGTTTTAAGTAGAGCTTTTATCCAATCAGATTTCACCTCTGTGTCTCTAGGTAAGAAGAGAGGCAGAGGCCTGCAGACTCACAAGTGAATCCCTTTGCACTTTAAGTGAATGGGGACGATATTGTTGATTGTCATAGTGTTTAACCAATCAGATCTTTAGTTTGACATGTTGGGCGTATTCTTTGACGTGTCAGAGCCTGCTAGCTGGCCTACAAGTACGTCAGCATTAACGGGCAGCTCAGTTTTCTGGTGCAGATCTACAGTGAGCTGCAGCGTGTGCTGCGATTGGTCAGTGGGCGAGCACGTGACTATAGTGAACTGAAACTTAACAGCAGAGGTTTAGTCAGAGTAGTGAGAGTTCAAATTGAAAGAAATCGAAGAAATTACATTTTTTGCATTTTGCTTGGTGTAGATTTTTTTTTTTTTTTTGTTTAACCTAGCTTTGTTTTTTAACATTCAATGGCTGAAGGAGGAGAAAAGGATTTGTGAGTTGGGATTTAACCGTGGGATGAAACTCTTTGTCAACAGAGAAAGGAGGATGGAGTTTGTCTTTAAGTTAACAGTGTTTGTTTTTTTACATCTAATATCTGAATGGCCCTTGAGTGTGGAGCAGAATGCATGTCCCGCTGCAGGTCTGCTGGATTGATTTGTTGCTTTGTTGTCATATGAATATATGTGACTGGTTCTTGTGAGTTTGTTGTTGTCATTGTGTTAATTATATAGATTTGGACTATATGCATTGTCCGTTAATTACGAAGCATACCGTCATGCGCGGAGTTATTGTTTGTTAAGATAGTTTAGCGTAGCCTCCCAGAAGTGTGGGGCATCAGCTGCCTTTTGTTTTGGTTTTTTTGTTCCGGGTTCAGAGGTCACACATCCCGTTGTCTCCTACGTGAGCGCAGTCCACCGAAAACATATATCCCAAAATTTAAGCTTCTGCATTTTCCAAATGCACTAGTATTATTCAAACGTATTGTTCAGTTCGTAAGCCTCATACCGAACGGTTTAATACGAATACGTGTATGTTACACCCCTAGAAACAAATAACCGTAGCTTGCGCGTCACAATGAGATTATTAGGTGGTGTTTCAGCTGCAGGACAGCACTGAAGGCCCAGGTATAAACCGCCCGGCCCGCCACTGATCTGTACAGATTGCAAAGTCCTTTGATTTGCGATTTACAAAATAAATGTAATTCAATTTAATCCTTCGAGGACCAGGAATGTCTGTAAATCATTTGTGTCAGTCATCTATTAGTCTGCTGGTGGTGCTAGACCAAAAGTCAGCGTGTCATTAGAATTCATCCTCTGGAGACCAGGAATGTCTGTATAACATTTAATGGCAATCCACTCTACACCGAAGTGGTGGACTTGTGTTGCCATCCTTAGAGACACATTGCTAGCATGGCTAAAAAGCTGGGAGAGGAACTACCTAATGAATATGTTCTACTTGCCAAGTCTATGTTTACAAAATAAACTTACTGGAGCAAAGAAGAGGGAGAAAAGGTACTGCTACCATAACAGCTGACTATCTGCAAATATTAATAACTGCAGATTACCTCAGAGATGGAGTTGGAAAAGCAACAGACAGCATGGTAGAAAAGATCAGGAGGGGGGTCAGTCCAAAACAGGAAAGCATAGAATGTTCAGTGCAACCATACTGTCTTATGAGAAAAGAATGAGGAGACATCGTCTGTGTATAAGAAAGAGAACATCCGCTGATTAGTTGAGATTAGTTAACAGTTGTTTTTGGGGAAGATGGTCATTACCATTATCATTGCTATAGTTCATCAGCATGCCACAAAAGACAGTCAAGAGCTTCTCATTTTCCGGCTCAGTATTTTGGGAGAGGGATTTAATGTGTTCAGCTACTATCTGAGCCCCTCCTGCCAGGTCAACTGCACTCCTGCCCTCATCTGCAAAACAAAGAGGCCAGGACACGAATCAACCACAAAGAAAAGGAAAAAGTAAAGAAAAATAACCACAACCTGAAAATATACATATGAAAGCAATATCAAGTAAGCAGTACAAAATATACAAATGAATGCAAACTAAGGATAGCAGACATTCACAATTGTGTGGCAACTTATAGCAGTTTACTAATTATGATTTTATTGCTGCCAAGAATTAAAAACCAACACAATCCACAAATGCAGAATTATAGAACGGCAATCTTAAACAAGAAAACAAGCTTGAATAAACAGACTGCTGACGATGGATATGTTTGGCATAATCAAGCCTCAGTGCATTCAAAGGAGTAAGACCTGTGAATGGAATTGAAGGCCAGTACACTTTACCTTTGATATCAATTTACGAACAATTGTATTGGTGTTTTTCTTTCATTTCTTTAGAGAAACGGTAAATGCACTGTAATGGTGATTGTCCCTTTGGGCTTTGTCTGGTAGAATAGCTGCATAAGGAAGCGTTCTCCGTGTCCCTGCTACTTTCAGTCACTAGAGAACAGAACTACAGCTAGTGTTGTGCTTGGATTAGCAACCTAATGTAATTGGTAACCGCCACACTTTTACACACATAATTATAGTTTATGAGAAAATGAATGTACAAGTCTGAGATCATTATCTCACGTATACACACACACTGTATATGATCATAGAGTTTTTATAATACATTTTTTGCTCTGTGGAGTGAATTTACTGATGGTTGTTCCTTTAAGAAGCACTTAAAAGAGAAGAGTGCTCTTATTTGATTATTCTAATCAGTCAATTGAATCAATGCAGTCTTATTGTCATAAAACATTTGGGTGGAGTTGATTATGGCCTTCTGACAAAAGTCTATGTCAGGGTGCTGGTTGAACCTCATTAGAAGCAATGTGGATTTGTTCCATGTCATGGAGGAGTGGATCCCTTCTTTACTCCATAGACTGTATTTAAGAAGTGTATGTAGTCACTATGACATCACATATTGGTTTGTGGACTGCAGTATTGAAGCCTCAAGTTTGGCATTTTGGTCATCGCCATCATGGATTTTCTTGCAACCAGAAGAGACACAAGTTTTTAAACAACCAAAAAGGTTCAAATTTATTTTCATGAAGTGAACAGACTACTCTCAGACAGGACAACGCCGTGGTAGCAACCTGTCAATCACTGTGTAGCCCCGCCCTAAAGCATCCCCTGCTTTATGGTCTGTGTGACTCTAAATGGACCATAATGTACTAAATGAACATCATGCTGTATTGAAGAAGACTTGAAACTAGAGATTGAGACCATAAACTCATGTTTACAATGTTTACTGAGGTAATAAATCAAGCGAGAATTAGAGTCATTTTCTCATAGACTTCTATACAACCAGAGGAGTAGCCCCCTGGTGGACATTATTCCATTACATATTTCTTTACAGCCCACATATCAGGATGTTCTACGTTGTATGAATTGTAAAAAAAAAAAACCTGTTTCCTTGGACAAAAAAAATCTTGAACAGGAAAAAAAAAAAAAAAAAAGGAAGAAACCTCTCCTGCTTTACTCTAGCAAGAAACCCAGGGACGTCATGGGAGTTTGCCAATCTGGACAGTTTGAGTGTGAAGGGACAGGATAAAAGTTAGCCAACACCTATAGTACTCTGCCAGAAAACAGTGTTTACTCCAGGTTAGGAACAAGTTGATGCCCCAAGTGAAGGACTTCAAGTATCCTGTGGTCCTGTTCATGAGTGAGGGTAACATGAGTTCAACAGACAATCCGTCCAGCACTGGCACTGGTTCTGGACCATCATGGTGAAGAGTGAGCTGAGCATGAAGGCAAAGCTCTAGATTCGCCTTGCCTATGGTCATGGGGTTGCATCCGAATATTTTTGGAACTTACTGAAAGAGAACACCGGGCAATCACACAAATTCTCCCATCCCTTTGATGTGGACAAGCAAATGGAACACTGCCTTCTCAGAGAAAATGTCCAGAAGTGAATGCTGTTATCTCCATGTGTTTGATTCATCATGTCCAGGCTACGAAGACATAGTTGGAAGAAGATCAGAAAGGCAGTGGGATGTAGTCAGAAGGCTATGATAGCAGGCTCGGACATCTGGAAGAGGCTCGGAGTAGAACCGCTGCTCCTTCACATTGAAAGGGGTCCCTTGAGGTGGTTCGGAAATATTGCAAAGTACTGCAAAAGTGTGTCTGAATATACCTTCATTTTTTTATGTCATAAAAAGTAAGAAATGTTTTTGAAAAATCAAAAAGTCATAGTAAAATCATTTATCTTCTTGTATGTAATGTACTGTCCCATTTAGAGAGTTAATTCAATGTTATAAAATGTGACATGTTGCAACTCTTGACTTTGTAGCGATCATGTCACTTCATGTGAGAGTATTGTATATGTATACATGTATGTATACATGTATTTATGTATGTATGTATGTATGTATGTATGTATGTATGCATATAAAGTAGCAGCAAAGGTGAACCCCTTTTCATCATGTTGAACTGCACATGATTTGAGAAGATTTCTCTAATCTACTAAAGCAACTGAGGCATATTAGAGTGAGTGTTTCTTTAAGGTAACAGGCAGCTGCTTCTTCACACTCTCCCAGTGCGTCTTTGATAATACCATGCCCCCCTACACTCAAACAAATGTCACATCCCCCGGATTCCACTGATCGCCAGCTTTTCAACAAGAGGACAAACTATGCAGCACAACTGACAGCTGTGATTAAAGCCTCTAAAGCAGGCTGTAAAATTAGGCTTAAATCTGCTGCTCCTCCCTGAGGTCACAACTCAAAGCTTCCACTGCTACATTCACTGATGGTGCCACATGTGAATCACAGAACACAGATCGGTAATATTGTCATATAAACTGTGATACTTTAGTTTATAGTTTGCTCATCACTAAACAAATGGTAACGTAGTTTTGTTATCACACAGTTCTCAAATTCAAAACTATATTTTCCATAAACTCTTTATCCCAACTTCAAAAACACAACAACCAAAGTTTGTTTGCATTAAGAAATATAGAGAATCCATTAGCCATGTCCAATAATATTGTTACCTCATTTATATACGCAGTTGGACGCCTTTCAGTTGCAAACGAGCCGGTACTAGGAAGGTTTAGAATGGGAGCTCATTATGTCGAACACATTTGCACCGTTAGAAATGTTTGATGTGTCATATGATTGTCTATTAGCAGCTACATGATGTAAGTTTCAGCTTAAGAACAAAGCAAAGACACTGAAATGCTACGTTTGAAGCACTGAACGGAAGCATAGGTCACATTTTAACTGTAGTTTAGTAAAGATTACTTTGAAATCTATATTTGCTGAAGGAAGTTGCAATGCATATGAAGTGGGTCTGCTGTTTGAAAGTACAGTTAATCCTAATCTACAAACATTTCTTCTGTCTGGACATAATCATCAGAACATCTGGTTCAGATTTGAAGCTTCACCAAGGTGAATTACTAAATGCCAAACGAGGTTTAAGGTCATTCATAAAAAGTGCCACCATTCCACTCGGTAGGTAATATAGTCACTACCCCAAAAACTAAGGGAGAAATAGATTATTATTTTAATGATGCTGATTTTTTGGTATAAATTCCTATCAACTGATGAATCATACCAGATTTTTTAGACATGATATCAAAAAAAAAATCAGTATTAGCCAAAACTAGAACAAACTCAATTCAACGTTCTAACGTGTAACAAGCGATGTATGAATGCAAGTCACTCCCTCAACAGGTTACTTCATAAAATAGTGTTTACTTTTAAAATATCATTAAAAAAAGCAGGTTCAGAGCAGTGTCTCAAGATTTAGTTTAGTTGTTGTCATTATGACTGTAGTTCTACTTATTTTTCAGTGTCCGTCTTCTTATGTTGTCGGTGAGCTCATACTGCGTGTACAGGATACGATTGTCTTTCTAATTGTTAAGTTATTGTCCACTCTAAATAAACAAACTCTTTGCTTCGATGTTGGTGAAAATTCAACCAATCAACTCCCTACAATTCAAGTGTAAATGGGGTCTGGTTAACTAGATCTGAACAGAACTAACCTGAATGCAAAGCTATCAGCCTGTTAAAGGTGTGTGCGGCTGAAACACATTGTTAAACATCAAGGCTTTCAAAAGCAGAATCACTTGTATGACTTATTTTCTGTGGTGGTGATGTCAAGGCTCATGAGGGATTCAGTGTTCCCTGTGTAAAGCAAACTGCTACTTACGGCTGTCATAACAGATGTTGCCAAGCGCTCGGCCAGTCTGCAGGAGAACCTCCTGGTTGGGTGAGTTTAACAGCTGAGTTAGAGGAGGGATGAGGCCGGCTTCGACGCAGGGACTCCGCATGAACTCTGAGAGAGGGAGAGGCGTCAGGTCAGTATGAAACGGTCTTCAAGTTAAACGTGCTCGGCGAAGTTAAGAGCGTCAAACTGCTATATTACTCACATGTCTCCTATAACTTTACTCATAGTATCTGTAGTACATGTAGTGATCACATGATCAAGACATGCAGTGCCTTGAACAAATAAAGAAAGGTAAAATGGCATGAAAAATTGACACTGATCCCAAACTAATATGATCAATTAGTACATTGTTCATGACAATCGTTATGTTTGCATGAACATTGAAAAGAAAATGTTGGCTCCAAATCTACTTAAGAAGTCTCAATCAAAGCAAAAGTTATTTTGTGTATCCTCATCAAAGACGGATGGAGAAATGTGACATTGCTGTGACTAGTTGCACCCATAATCCTCCACTTCACATTTAAGGGATAGTTTGGATGTTTTGAAGTGCGCTTGTATTGTACTTCTCCATAGTCGGTGTCTTACTACAGTAGATGGAGTTTGGAGAAACAGACAGTACATGCACAGCATCACTGCCAATCGGAGCTAGAGCTAATAAATATGCGTGACTACTGGTTATTAGTCACTGGAATGAATGCAGACTGTAACCTTTCCTACAGAAGGCAAAATCCAGATGTTACTGGGTGTTAGTGGAGAAGGAGGCTTAAGATACTTCCCACCTAACCGTAGCATCCTGATAGCTACCTGCACAACTAAACTGTAATGCTTTAAATCAAGGGATACATGAGAGGATGAGGGACACAAAGAACGAGAGGATAACTCCATGATTCACTGACAAAGAGACAGTTTAACATGTCCTGTATGTGAAAAGGATTTCTCACTAGTCACCACACTGTGATCAGATATCCATTTGGGAAATCATGTTGCATCATCTGGCTTTGAGTGGGGATGAGACACGATTCTCTGCTTTGATGGTGTTTTGTGTTTTTGTACATTCAAGCTTGCCTGGTGCGGCTTTAAACCATCATGTCAGTTCAGACTGTCAGACACACGGGGAGTTGTCTTTAGCCCACAGCCACTTGGCTTGCTCGCAGACATTTCCGGAAGCTGTGACAGATAAATGCCAGCGGGTTGTTGCCAAGCTTGCAAACTGCTGGGGAGTAGCCTAATCATTAGCTGCAGTCTCGCAAGCTGCTAAAAAGCCGTTCATTATCTTAACCTTTTCTCGCCCTTAATTATATTCACGTCGGCTTCTTCCCACTTTAAAAGCTTCTCCTGTGCTCACACAGAGGCATTATGGATAACTGAAGCTCTGCGACGCTGCAGTTATGCAACATGCGAGTCCTTACACAATGACCTCACAGTCGGTGACAGTTTAGCTCGGAAATGGCCCGTCAATCAAACATGCTACTGTTCGAGTCTTCAAATATTTCAATCCATAGAAATGTTCTAGAAATATCCATGACTGACATGGTCTCCCCCCAGTCTTCACTAGTAATGTATTTATGATGTAAAAACAAAAAGGATGAGAGCTAGAGGAAGGCTCTAAATTGAACACTGACGAATGGAGGAACAGAAAGTCAGGGTGTTCCTGGGTGGATGGGCTTGGAAACCGAACCTCACCATTTTTGGCCACCTCAGCTATGATGTTGGCTACTTTAGGGGTGCAGGAGGACTGGGGGCTTAGCAAGGGGGGAAGCAGGGGGAGAACGCCCATCTCCTGGATCTTCACACTGGCCTCGGTGTCTGCAGGAGAGATAAAGAGAATGAATTTGCATTAAAGGGATATTCAATAGGCAGTAAATAGGAAGTGTGGCTGTATGATCGTCTGAGGTGCTTCTCCATAGTCGGTGTGTAAGCTACAGTGGGCAACAGCTAAATGTATTTGAGACAATTAAACAAATCCAGTGTGTACACTATACTTTCAATATTTTCCGCCGAGAACTGAACCAAAAGTCAACCTTAGCTATACTGTTTTTGTCAATGGAGTCCATCTCGTGGCTTATGAAAAGATCATGGAATAGTTTAACTTTCAGTTCAGTTCCCCGTCTGACGGAAAGATAGAGCAGTGGAAATACTCTCTTAACAGAGCAAACACTTAAACTGATACTGATTTTTTGGGGTATTTAAAATAGGTTCTGCTGCTGCCTCCGTCCACAGCAGTACACTACATTGCTCTCATGTCTGTTTTCCACACTTCAAAACATCCAAACTATCCTTTCATGCATGCTTCTCAGAAACACAAGGTACAGAGACATATCAAGTTCTAACTGAAGGTGTTTGCTGATGAAGATATCAAAATGTGACATTAAAGTGGCCAAATGAAAATTGTTCAACTGCTCGAGCCTGACTACCTAACTTATTACTATAATATTACATATTTATCAATGAAAGTGAGAGCATTAAACATTCACTAAGAGTTCATGTGCAACTTGCTCACTCTTACATGCATAGAGGACATTAACATAATACATCTTATGTAGCCAGACAGACAGGATTTTGGAAGCTGATACAGAAATGAACCTATTCAGTTTTAGTTTTATTGCAACAACAAAGAACAAACATCACTTAAAATGTGATTTTTTATAAGAATTGTGACCAATATCCATATACTGAATAAAATACTTTGATAGTGTAAAAATGATTTTTTCATTGCTTTGATAAGCCAGCTATGTCATGGAGACACTGCTTCTATACTACTCGTATATGCTCACAAAGATCACAGGTTGGAGGGCTGGGAGAGGGAATCACAAGTATATTTACAGTAACAGCGATCTCGCAGGTTTATTGCACGACACAAAATTTGGTCGCATTCTGTTTCACACTGTAAAATATCTATCGTAATTTATGTCAGATTGTGCAACCAGTGCCTGAATAGCAGTGGTAGAATGTGATAAAGATATGTAGACGCAGATATCTGAGAGCTTTGGCCATCATGGATGGGATGTCTGTCTGTCTGTCGGTCGCTCGCTCAATAAATATTGGAAGGAACGTCATGAAATGTGGTTGAGACATTGGTGTCCCCCTCAGGATGGGGTCCAATAACTTTGGTCAACACTTCTCCTCTTTTTGTTCAAGAATTTGGTTTATGATCAAATACCTGCAAAACTAATGACATTCCCATAAGCCTTAGATGTACTTTGGGTTTATTGTTTATTAGCATGCTAACATGCTAAACTAAGATGGTGAACATGGTAAACATTACACCTGCTAGCATGCCGTTTTTAGCATTTAGCTCAAAACACTTTAATTGGCACAGACTTCAACACACCAGTGTGGTATCATCATGTCCTGTGAATTGTCCTTTCACGTCGTATTCTGATTGGTTGAGTTGCAGACGTCTGACGTACCAGCAGTCACACATGGTCACAGACAGAATTTGGTGTTTCATTTCTGACACTGTCAAATTTAATGCTGGCTGGATAGAATTTATAAAATGAGGAATTGACCAAATGAATCTAAGGGTTTAAATCAGATGATGCTTTTACCTACATTTAAATAACACAAACAATATGACAGGAATGTCACTAGGTCCAGAGTGGGCAGACTTTCAGAGACTTTTAAGGGAAACTTAGGCCACATCCACACCAATATGTTTTCGGTTAGAAATGGGGGTTTTAAAACGATGATGATTTCCAACCATACTAGCACGCCTGAAAACAAATATCGCATGACTATTCACGTACACTGGGCATGCAGGTGCCGGTGTAAACAGGAAGTAGATTGGCTGCTTAGTTAGAAAATAAGTAAAAGTATTATAGTCTTTAATAATAAAAGGTGATACTTAAGATCGTCCTCTATAAACACACTCTTTGCTCTGCTGGTGGTTGAAGTCTCTATTGCACTGGAGAGCATTTATGCTTTTGTTCCTTAACAGTTTCTTTGTGAACTTCACAATAGTTGTGCAGAACAAAATAAGCATTATTAAGAAAAGGAAAGTCCTCCGTTTTGTGTCTGTCCTTCTCAAAGCCGCTAACCGTGACTTCAGACGTCCGCTCCGTAGGTCTGATAACGCCGCTGGACACGCCGCTCGCTAATCTCTACAACAACAGCTGCTTCCTCCACATGTCGGCAGTAGTAGAATTATTAAATGCAGAATTGAACTGCACAACAGCTGCAAGTATAGAGCGATGCCTGTAATCAGTTGTCCATGTTGAATTAACCTGGTAGTCGATCGATAATCAAGGCTCACGTGATATGGCGTGGCGAATCAGGAAAGGACATGTCGTGACTGCTAAGACCAGATCAAGTAGCGAACGCGAGTGTCTACGTCATCGTTCGCAAACTTATGCAGTTGTGCCTGTCCACACTACGAGGTAACCCCAGAGTTTTAAAACTCCAGCAGCGTTTCTTAACTCCTTTGTTTGCTCTAAAACTCTGGCCTAGTGTGACGCTCAGTGTACATGCAGCAAAAGATATGCGTGTTAAAATGGAAACGTAGTCGTGTGGATGTAGCCTTAGAAGGGAGGTGATGGAGGTGTAAATCAGGCTCTACTTACTGTTGTTGGAGAGTGCTTTCAGCAGGCAGTCCAGACAGCTCTCCACGCTGTCAGTGGCGCTGTCTGTGGACGCCAGCTTCAGCTTCTCCAGGGCATCACTGAGGTTGTCTGAAAACAGAGACACTTAATGAACAAAGGCTGGGAGACAGAAAGCCATGAAGTCTGTCACTATGACCGTTCAAGTCAGTCATAGTGTGGCCGGTATGAAGGCTGCAAAACACATTTAGCTTTGACCAGATACTTGAGCCTGGATTCATTTGTTTTCTGAAACATGGCGCAGCAGAAACACAACAGGAGGAACAGGGATGATAACAATTAATCGACGATCAGCCCCCTGCCCCTAAACAGTGGTGTTTGTCTCCACCCATTATGCACCACCTCTCTGGCAGTGCCCGTGCGTAAAGCAACCAGGCTTCCACTCAGCTCTTTGGGCCCGAGCTCCAACGTGGCTCGTCTCCATGGCGTTGAGGACTCAGCCAGACATTTCTCTGTTCTTGCTTGAGATGAACGGCACAGCTAGGCCACAAGTGTGTCCTGCGGTTTAATTAAAGCCTTTTGTTTTTAAGGTTTCTGTTATTCTACAGTATTGTTTGTATTGTTATTTAATAAAAACATCTTTCCCAAAAGGTTTGGTGTGTTTTATGCATGTTTGTAATCCTGAGGGGTTAAAAAAAAAAAAAAACACAACGAATATCTCAATTAGTGCTGGGCGGTATGACCAAAAATGCATATTACGGTATTTTGTAAGATTCTGGCATTTTCACGGTATATCATGGTATTTTTTTTTTCCGCGTTAAAGCATTAATTAATTAACGCCGAAAAGAACCGGCCAGCGAGCGGCAAACAGCTGTTTGTGTGGCGTGTCTTCCGTTCCGTCACTTCCTGTTTCCTTCACCTACATTCCCCTGGGTCCTAAGCCCCTCCAAGTACAGCTTCTTATCACGTACATTTATAACAAATACCACACGGTAATCAGCGTTGCATATGTGTCTGACCAAAATACCTTTTGTTGTTCAGTCTGTGTTCATCCTACATCGCTCTTTTCTGTTCTTTAATGTAACGTTACTGGAGCGACAGAGCCTCTCCCAGCTGTTAGCAGACTGTTGTCAGCTAGCTTTACCCAGCATGCAGTTCGGCAGTGACATTTTATAAATGTACAATTATTAGTGTTACAAATTGTTTATGTGTCACAAACTGTTGTGTCGTGGTGTTTTGCCCTGTTAGAGCGTTAGTTGTAGGTTGTTAATTGTTGTTATAAAGTTACAACCATGACTTGGGTTCCCTCTCAATACAGTTAAAATAACTAGCTCCGACCGCAGCACTCACAGTCCATTGTCTGATCCACACTCCGGAGTAGAAGGTGGCGGTAATGCACCAATAAGATGGATGCCAACTGCCGTAAAACTAGAAGAAGAAGGAGTAGCGCTCACAGCGGCGAACAATATATTTTGCTGCCTGATGAAGAGCGACAGAAGTTGTTTTGGCTGTGCACCGGTATGACGGTATATGAAAAATTCATATCGTACGGGAAATTAAAACCGGTATACCGGTTGAACCGGTATACATATAACCGAGATAGATAGAGATATACGTGTGTGTGTGTGTGTACACACACACACACACACACACACACACACACACACACAGTTGTGTGAAAAAGTGTTTACTCCCTTCCTGATTTCTTATTTTTTTTGCATGTTTGTCACTTACATGTTTCAGATCATCAAACAAATTTAAATATTATATTGTCGCAAGTAAACACAAAATGCACTTTTTAAATGAAGGTTTTTATTATTAAGTGGGAAAAAAAATCCAAACCTACATGGCCCTGTGTGAAAAAGTGATTGCCCCCCCCCACTGTTAAAACATAAATTAACTGTGGTTTATCACATCTTTGGAAAGCCGAGTTAAATTTCTCTAGCCACACCCAGGCCTGATTACTGCCACACCTGTTCTCAATCAAGAAATCACTTAAATAGGACCTGCCTGACAAAGTGAGGTAGACCAAAAGATCCTCAAAAGCTAGACATCATGCTGCGATCCAAAGAAATTCAGGAACAAATGAGAAACAAAGTAATTGAGATCTATCAGTCTGGAAAAGGTTACAAAGCCATTTCTAAAGCTTTGGGACTCCAGCGAACCACAGTGAGAGCCATTATCCACAAATGGCGAAAACATGGAACAGTGGTGAACCTTCCCAGGAGTGGCCGGCCGGCCAAAATTACCCCAAGAGCGCAGCGACGACTCCAAGAGGTCACAAAAGACCCCAGAACAACATCCAAAGAACTGCAGGCCTCACTTGCCTCAATTAAGGTCAGTGTTCATGACTCCACCATAAGAAAGAGACTGGGCAAAAATGGCCTGCATGGCAGAGTTCCAAGACGAAAACCACTGCTGAGCAAAAAGAACATAAAGGCTCGTCTCAGTTTTGCCAGAAAACATCTTGATGATCCCCAAGACTTTTGGGAAAATACTCTGTGGACTGACGAGACAAAAGTTGAACTTTTTGGAAGGTGTATGTCCCATTACATCTGGCGTAAAAGTAACACGGCATTTCAGAAAAGGAACATCATACCAACAGTAAAATATGGTGGTGGTAGTGTGATGGTCTGGGGCTGTTTTGCTGCTTCAGGACCTGGAAGACTTGCTGTGGTAAATGGAACCATGAATTCTGCTGTCTACCAAAAAATCCTGAAGGAGAATGTCCGGCCATCTGTTCGTGACCTCAAGCTGAAGCACACTTGGGTTCTGCAGCAGGACAATGATCCAAAACACACCAGCAAGTCCACCTCTGAATGGCTTAAGAACAACAAAATGAAGACTTTGGAGTGGCCTAGTCAAAGTCCCGACCTCAATCCGATTGAGATGCTGTGGCATGACCTTAAAAAGGCGGTTCATGCTCGAAAACCCTCCAATGTGGCTGAATTATAACAATCCTGCAAAGATGAGTGGGCCAAAATTCCTCTACAGCGCTGTAAAAGACTCATTGCCAGTTATCGCAAACGCTTGATTGCAGTTGTTGCTGCTAAGGGTGGCCCAACCAGTTATTAGGTTTAGGGGGCAATCACTTTTTCACACAGGGCCATGTAGGTTTGGATTTTTTTTTCCCCTTAATTATAAAAACCTTCATTTAAAAACTGCATTTTGTGTTTACTTGTGTTATATTTGTATAATATTTAAATTAGTTTGATGATCTGAAACATTTAAGTGTGACAAACATGCAAAAAAATAAGAAATCAGGAAAGGGGCAAACACTTTTTCACACAACTGTATGTGTAATGACACTCAGGTTGAAAAATTCAATATCTTGAAAACTATTTTATTGAGCTGTCAAAATAGTATTTATTCAAATGCTGATTTTTGCTGTTTAAGCATTTAAAAACAAATTGGCCGTCCTTTTTAAAAGGCATATGAGACATATTACCAAAAAATGAATTAACATTATTTGCTTTTATTAGAACATGTGCAGTATATGTGGCAGTTGTGTCCTCAGTTGTATTGCAATGAACTTATGTCATGTTCCACAAACTTCTGTATTCAATAAAAAGAGAGAAACAAAATGTTGAACTCGTCCATCTTGAAATAAAAAGGCAAGCGTTGACACGATGACGACACAGTGACCATACATGGTCCAGCTATATACTGGTCTTGTTCTCTTTACTCAATTAAGAGGACTACAAGTCATCAATCTACTACACTGGCAGCCATGTTAACCACAGATACTGAAGATGTACAACTGCTGCATGTCTATGACATCCTTCCTGTTATTCTTATTGATCAGTGAAATAAACTAATTACAGATTGTCTATTTCCTCATAACATCCTAAGGTGACCATGTGCTTAATGGCTGATGAATGCCTATAAAGCAAGTTCCTTAAATTCAGTATGTGTTATTAGAGAGATGCTTATTCACTGGGTCTATAACGCTCCGTTTCTGGCTGCATAAGTACTCACAGCCTCCAGTCTACATTCTCTGCTAAATCTGATTAGGACTGGCCTGTCGGGTTTGGTCCAGAACGCACTCCAATTACTCTAGAGGCTGACACACTACTTTCTCGTCTATTTCATTGACCGTCAATAAAGAACACAATTAATTTTAATCATCTGAAATGCTAAGAAGTGTTGCAATAGCAGTGTGAACTGGTGTCCCAGCATTGTGCCAACAAACCAGGCATTGATAAGTTGCATAAGGATTGCAGACACTGTTGCAGTGACCTGGGTGTTTCTGTCGGTTGCTTGTGCACTGCACAACCCACACGTCCATCCTCCATGACAGATGCCTGATATCAAGTGACAACATGAGTGATCACGCCCAGGATTAGACCTTATGAAATACCTCATACACTGTCAAACAAATAACCCACATGTGCCACATGTGGGAACTGGTTATAAATGTGATGGATGGAGAGGTAATATGAAGTGAATATACAGCATGTTTTTAAAGTAAATTTGTATTCAGAGATGTGACTACTACACTACAAAAACATCAGTAATCAGAGTGTCCATGATCAATAAGCAGTATAAGCAGTTCCATTCTAGAGAGCAGTGCAGTACAAACAGCAACACGAAGTGGGCTGCTGGATCCTATTGCATAACAGCTGTGGAGATGGAGGAGTGCCAGCTACATCAGCAGCAGCACTGCTATTTCAGGGGATGCACATTCATTTGGCCACTGGGACCTTGAAGCCATCTCAGATCCCCGCTGAATAACAGCGAGGAAGAGCGAAGGCCAAGCGAATACATCATATTGTCAGAGCTGGCGTTGCCAAATGGAAAACCATCAGGACCACAGAGAGCGGATAGAGCACGGAGAGTGTGTCAGGGAAGCTACCCCACCCGAGGACCGAAGCACGCGCACGTATACATGATTTAGCGACAGTCAGCTTTTCATATGACTAACTAACATTAGAGTTAGAAAGCAGAAAGCTATACGGTGAGATGGAATCACAGTGATATGGAGACATTATTGCATGATACATACAAATCAACCATCAACCATACATGACTGCTTAAACGCGTTTAAATGACCATTTTAAGGTTTAGCTAACGTTAAGTGGTAAGAACAGTTCTTGTCAGCTAACTCGGCTCAGAGTGCTCTGGTTGCTAGCGGTATACTCACCCATCTCAGCAGGATGTTGCTTCGGAAAATAAACAGGGGTGTTCAGCTCTCCAGCTGTAAACCGAGTCGTACTAGCCGGAGGCCCCGCTTTCCACACACCGTCTGTCCGTTAAACCGCCTTAAACTGGCGAAGTTAGCGGGTTGAGGTTAGCTAGCTAGCTAGCCAGTTAGGTAGCAACAGCAGCCACCAGTCCGGTCGGGCAGTCGTGCTCAGATGGATGCTGCTGTACAGTGGCCTGTACACCGGGTGACTAGCAGGTTAACACAATGAGACTTCCTCTCATATTCTCACCAACAGTCAAGACCTGGTGGCTGGCGCTCCCCTGGACGACTGGCTCAGTCTGACATGCCACAGCCGAGGATTTAGAATACGATTTCCGGTTAGAGTCTTCAAAATAAAAGTATTTGAAGGTGTCATATGGCACATCACCGGTAGATGGCAGCCTGAGACTTATCTGGAAGCCCAAGCCAGATGCTCAGCAATAATTCGGATATTTACCATGGCCAAAGAACAAAAAAACCGAAAGGTTAGGAACCATTGTTTTGAAGATTAATTTAACGCCAGGCTGAAAAGTAGTGCAGTTAGTAGTAGTAGTAGTACTAGTAGTACTACTGTAGTAGTAGTAGTTTGTGTTATTTTTACAAACGTGCTGTGTTGCACCTCGAACCACAAGCAACAGTGATGTCACAGTGTCCTGGAGTCCACCTGTACTTCACTGCATCAAGGTGAAAAGTTAAACCACTGGAGGTCAGCAAAGACAAGATTGGTGTGAAGTCATTCTTTAAAGTGCTGCTGATGTGACCAAAAAGCCACGAGTTCAGTTTTAAATTGCAAATATCTCACTTTAGAAATAAACTCAAGTCAATAAAGTGTACAAGGTTTTATACATAGGCCAATATCACAAATGTTTCTCAAGGGGATTTACAATCTATACAGCATATGACACCCTCTGTCCTTGGACCCTTACTTCAGATAAAGATCAAACTGTCTATGTCAAGCAGGGCCAATGACCACCATCTCAGTTTTATCTGAAAATATCTGAAGACAAGCAGCCCTCTAATTTAATAATGTGGGAATGATCATCCGCCTTTATAGGCACATACAGCTTAGTATCATCAGCATATCCTTTTCTTTTCTCTCTTTTTTAGCAACCTCCTGGCACTCTGAGATTTTCTGAATGAAAAGTGCGTTACAAATAAAATGCATTATTATTATTATTATTAACTCCCGACTCTCAGAGTTTTAGCAGTTTGGTTGAATTTTGCTGTTAGTTATAGTAGTAGTAGTAGTAGTTGTTGTGGTGTTGCCCCTTATTTGTTCGAAGCAGTGACCAGATACTACACATTGCACATTGAATCATCACAACCCCTCAGATTTATCCTGTGACTCTTTTGGAGGTTGGGAACCTCTCGACTAAACTTGCTGACTGTAAATCTAATTATTATAACTAGCTCCACCTCATCAGCTACAACAGTAACGTGCTGACACATTGATACATCAGTATTCAAATTGTAATATATGATAATATATCAGTCACAGAGGCCAAATTTCTGCAAAGCAAGTACTTTTACTTTAAATACTGTAAGTCAATTCAGTTGATAATACTTCTGCACTCTTACTTACATAGGATTTCAAAAAGCAGGACTTTCACTTGTTATTGAGTAATGTTACACTGTAGTTTGGTACTTTTGCTTAAGTGGAGGATCTGACTTCATCAACCAGGAGTTAGTGGATGACAAGAGAAACATTCTCATCTGAGAGATGTGAGAGGCCATCTTTGATCGGACACAGAGGCTACCATCTCCACACATACACAACCATCATGTGACTGTAGGTCATGTGACCATTTCCATTTACTGAAGGAAGACTGTGAGATGCACTTAACAGCAAAGCAGAATCCAATTAAGGTTTTGTAATGTAGGTCCACCTTTTTTTGTTGTCTAACTTTAACCATGTTTTGCAGATATAATATAACAAATATTTTACAAAAATTGTCATTGAGAGTATTTCAGGTTTTATTTTTTATTTTTTATTAGTTTCCAACATCACAGTTTTGGGTGGTCGGGTTGGGTTGAGAGCTCAGTAAGAGAGAACGTAGACGTAGACATGAGACTATTTGTCACATGATCTAGTCCCAAGGTGGTACGGTAGATGGCAGTATAGTGACATAATAAATACCTGTAAGCAGCGGTTCATCATCACAAAGTTATTAATTACATTTTTTATTTCTTTTTTTATTGATTATACTATATTGATCCCTTTAAGGGGGAAATATACCTCTGCATTTGACCCATCCCTGTATATAGGGAGCAGTGGGCTGCCAATGACAGGTGCCCGGGGAGCCGGGGGTTCAGTATATTGCTCAGGTACACAATACTTGTTCAATGTTTCCAAGGTAATACTTGTTGTAATTCTATCAATTTTATTATTGTTTTTACAAATATTACTGATGAAAATAAAGCTTAAGCAGTAAGTTATTATTTAACATTACTCCCTATATTAAGACCAGTCAGTCAGTTTGAGAGTGATAGCAGAACCTAATCCTTTGTTTTCAGTCTTAATACAGTACCACCTACAGTATGTTGCAACAGACTGGACTAGCACAACTAATTTACCTATATCTTATTCTGCAAATAACACAAAATTCCAAGACTTATTCAGTTGTCTTTTATTATGATATACAGTAATATAGTAGTCCCTTCTCAGTGTAGGGGCCAGAGTAAGATGGAGTTGTCTTATGCCCAGCATAAAATGAAGACCTACAAACCTGCAGTGGGAGCTGGCGGCAACCTCTTGGTCTGAAAGTGAAGCCAATGCAGAAATGTCCACCAGGGGGCGACTCCTCTGGTTGTATAGAAGTCTATGAGAAAATGACTCTACTTCTCTCTTGATTTATTACCTCAGTAAACATTGTAAACATGAGTTTATGGTCTCAATCTCTAGTTTCAAGTCTTCTTCAATACAGCATGATGTTCATTTAGTACATTATGGTCCATTTAGAGTCAAACAGACCATAAAGCAGGGTATGCTGTAGGGCGGGGCTACACAGTGATTGACAGGTCACTCCCATGGCGTTGTCCGGTCTGGGAGTTGTTTGTGTTTTTGTCTTAGAACTTTAACCCTTTCACAGTGTGTTTTCACTTCATGAAAGTTAATTGTAACTATTTGGTTGCCTAAAAATGTCTTAGCTCCACCACGTCGTGCCACTTCTGACTGCAAAAAAACAAGATGGCGACAGCCAAAATGTCAAACTCTGGGCTTAAAAGGACAGTCCACAAACCAATGGGTGATGAGACATGGACTATGTCCACTTCTTATAAATATTCAATGAGTGGGACGAATGTTCTATAGCCTAATGTTGTAAAACTTCAGAGGGAACACTCCGCAGACATTATGTTTTTGGGGGGATAAGAGAGCTAAAATATGCTGAGATATTTTGAAGTGTGTTCCAAGCCCAAATAACCATTACAGATGCATGTGTTTACTTGTTGACTCAATCATTTATACAGTGGATATGGCAGGGGCGTTTCTAGGATTCAAAGAAAGGGGGGGCTTAGCCCCAAGGGCAGCGTCAAGGGCAAATTTTTTGGAGCCCATTTGGGGCCGTGGATATCCATTGTTTCAGACAGTTCATAGAGTGGTTCAATCAGAAAGAGTGTGATTTTGCTCTGTAGTTTTGCTTGCATTCAGTATATGATAACACAAGAGACAGAATTTCAGGGTCATAGTGAAATTTGTCAACACAAATATGAACTTTTCTCAAATAAAGAGAGAAATAATTTTCCTGCTTGTAAAGGAAAGACGGATAAACTAGCTTTCATATCCGCTTCACTCCCAAATCCTGATTCTTAAAGGGACCGCACACAATGGATGGAGAATGGACCTGACAGTGTCAACTTTATATCATTCAGTATGATGAGAGGCTGTTGGATTGTAATTTGAAGGGGGAGAAAACATACAAACCAGAACGCACGCACATATGTAGCATGTTAGAGTTATAAATAACTTGTCCATGTGAGAAACAATAGTTTAATTTAATGACATCACCAAAATAATTTTTTTTTTTTTTTTTAAATATTAAAATATTAAAATATTTTAGGGGGGCTTCAGCCCCCCTAAAATAGGCCTAACGACGCCCCTGGGATATGGTAAAAATGGACAGCCTGGTCTTACTTTCCCATACAATAAATCTGCATCAACATCATCATTCCTATTTCATGGTTTACAGAAACGTACAATGGCAAAAGAAAAAACTGCCACACTGGGTTGGTTTTTGACGTATCACAAATATGTTTCTAATTATTGTTCGCTGGCATATATAGGTGTTGAGGTAGATAGACGCAGGACTTTTACCAAGGAGATCGCTGTTTGTGTCCCGTCTAAAACCACAAGTCAGCATTGACTTATTTTAATTGACGTCTGTAACTTAAATTACGTAATAAACATACTTATTTTGAGCCAAATCATTAAGTTTTACTTAACCAGTAGTGTTTTTGTATCGTTTTGTTTCAATTTACAACGTTAACCACGCATTTAGAACTACCACCATCTGGGTGAAAATATGTTTCCCTGAAAACGTAATTGTGGATGCAGTTTGGTCGTATGGCAACGTCATTTTGCAGGAGACAGGGTTGAAGGAGGAGCGGGCTCATAGGGGCTACATACAGTAGGTATGGAGCCCAAATGTTTTTACTATACACCAGTGTCTAACAGTTTATAGAGGCAAGCAATATAAAAAGATCAGGTTGGAATTATCAGATAAAATAAAACCTAAAGTAAAGCCTTTTAGTTACTTTTCATACAGTTACATAGTCTGTCTGGGTACAGCTTCAGGAGCAAGACCACCAAACATTTGATGGAATCCAGACTGAGGTACAACATTAATAATAGTTTTACCTTGAGGAGCTGCTTCAGGTTGAGGTCAGACTAGATCATAGAACATTTTGGAATCATCCTATAACATGATTATAGTTTGATATAATTCATCATTCTACTTACAACACAGACTGATGTCACTCATGAAAGGAGAAAATGTCAGAGACACCTTGTGTGGGGGAAGGGTGGCAGAGGGAGAAGGAGACCGTCTCGCTCCCCGCTCCC